TTTCATACAAAGTTACAGTATTCCCCCTACCATCAAATGTACGCAAGTATTATACACACAAACATCCCACCAACTGCTAAGTGCAGATGCGAGAATAAAAAGTGATAGCTACCTTTGATTTCCTTCAGGAGATTTTGAGCAGCAAACCAAGTGAGGACCTCGTAGCAGGGATGTTGGAACTTGAGTGGAGTCTCCAGACGAAGTTCCATCTCGTACACCCTGCATCAGGAAGTGGAGGTTCTGTAAGAACTAGCCCACACCAACTACTGAGCTACTTCCCGTCTGAGTGAGGGTGTTAATCATGCCATGAAGATTCAAATGTAGATCTTTTAAGACCTTGTGTATACTGATGACATTGAGCTGTCTCTGCAAGGATGAGGCCCTTAGCAACAAAGATATATTCTTGGAAATATGTAGTGGAGCTCATTGAGCTGGCCACTTGCAACTCAAAACTGGTTTTTAGCCTATACATGTATATTAGTAATATATTTGCACACCACACTATTCTCCAGCATACAGAGCAGACAAGAGAAGGAGAGCAGCATTGGGTGAACCAAACACGACATTAAATGTGCCAAATTGTCAATTACAGTGTTTGTACTTCATAATTTTCTGTTTCCTGATGTTATGGTGACTATGAAGCTGGGTAAACACCGCAGTTAAGGAATAGAACAGAAGTTTGATATGTTTCATCCTGTGATGATAGTAATAGCTGGTCTGGCTCTGCTGCTGTCAGCCACCTCAGTGGTTGGCACAGGAGGTGAGTGACTGAGAAACTGATACATACACGGAGAGACAAGGTGTTGGAAGATAGCTACATACGCACACAGAGACACACACACACACAAGATGTTTGTGGAGGAACAGTTATACCACTGCATATGGCGATGACTGAACTTCTGAGTGTAGGGGCTGCTTACTGCAAGTACTTGACACACACTCTGTATTGTAGCTGCCAGCCAAATACCTCAGAACTAACATGTGTGTAGGATAGTGTGATACAGAGTTTTCCCTTTGAGGGAGCATTTTTGTATCCTGGCCAAATTTCATTCACCGAAACTCAGTATGACATACTGCATTACGGTTGAGTCAGGGAAACCACCACCAGTGGGTATGCAACGCAAGTTCAGTAGCTACGGCTTGCACTGTGCTATGATAGTTAACCGCTAGTCTGGGTTTACACTGTTTTCTGAGATACTGATACACACACAGAGAGAGACACACACACAGCGTGTTGGTGGAGGTAGGTGTACCAATCCAGATGCAATGTCTGACTGACTCAACCCTCTACACCTGTGAGTATAGTAGCTTGCTATATGTGACTCACACTCTCTGCCAGCCAAAAGCCCATTAGTGCTTCCAAGAAGTGCAGTATAAGAAGCACTCCCCTGTGTGTACTGTAAGCAACAATATGTTCTCCTCTTTGAGGAAGCATGTGACATACCAAGTACCACTGTATCCTTGCCAAATTTTAATAATATGCTTCCATGCTTCCAATAATTATTAAAGTCACTATGACACTCAGTCTCAGGAAAAAGCACTACAATTTTTGTGTTACGGAGTTCACTGTGTCGCACTGTGATGATAGTAATAGCTGGTCTGGTGTTGCTGCTCTCAGCCACCTCAGTGGTTGGCTCAGGAGGTGAGTGACTGAGACACTGATAGCTACATACACAGAGAGAGACACACAAGATGTTGGTGGAGGTATTATGTAGCTACCACTGCAGATGCTGACTCTACTGAGTGTGTGAGTCAGCAGGATCTGGCTGCTGCGAAGGCAGAGATGGAGAGGAAAGTCGACAAGCTTCACTCGCAGTTTGACTACTGGCAGAATGTGACTGTCAACATTCTCAAGGACCAGTGCTCCTCCTTTAGCAATGGTACCTACTCCTTTTGTCTAAATAGCTTAGCTTGGTTTAAACATTGAACATGTTCAAAGCTCCAGTTGGTGAATTTAGCACTGAGGCAGCGGTCCTGATATCTACTGTGCTCAATATATCCCAGAGCAGTAAGTGATTGATATGATGCATACCTACCTACTACATACCTATACATGTGTTTAGTTCATACCACTCTATTTAGACCAGGACATAAAAGCATACCTTGAAGCTGTGAGCAAGCGACTGGATTTACTGGAAGAGATGACTAGACAGTCTCCCAATAACGTAACTGGGAGCTTCCTCAACCCAGCATACAACTGTCACCATATTCGAGGCCAACAGCCGATAGCTACTTCAGGTAAAGAGTTCACCTTTTTTGATATTAAATATTATTTTAAGCTTGCACAGGTTACTACTGGCTGCAGAGCTCCCCTGGCTATGCAGTGAAGGTGTTCTGTGATATGGAGAGGGTGTGTGGGTGTGATGAGGGGGGAGGAGGGTGGATGAGAGTGGCCGATATGAACATGATTAGACCCAATGAGAACTGCCCAGCAGGGTTCAGAAAGGTCACTGCCTCTGGCAAGACAATGTGTGGAGGTCAGAGTTCACGCTGCATCAGTACAACTTTCGGCTCACATGGACTCCAGTACAGCCGAGTGTGTGGAAAAATCATGGGCTACCAGTTTGGAGAGCTAGACGGTTTTTACGCGTACAGTGTTCACGGAGGATCTATTGAAACTAACTTTGTTGATGGCATTGTCCTTACCCATGGCTCCCCACGTAATCACGTCTGGACCTTTACAGCTGGCCTCAATCAGTACGCAACTGGACTACATGGTTGTCCCTGCAATGGTGCTTCCTACAGTGGAACTATACCAACATACGTTGGCAATGATACCTTCTGTGACAGCGGGCGTCGCTATTCAAGAGAGGCGTCAGTAAGCTACTTCACTGATGACCCACTCTGGGACGGTGCTGGTTGCATCAGTGGCTCCTGCTGTACCTTCAACTCTCCTCCGTGGTTCTGTAAGAACTTGTCCACACCAACTACTGATGACATTGAGCTACGGCTCTGTCTGGACGAGGATATTAGCAACGAAGACGTGCTCTTTGAAACAGTGGAACTTTATGTGCAGTGAGCCTGCCACTTGAAACTATAATTAGTGACTAGAGTATTTACGGTATGTACACCAAATACATAAATTGGTGACCCCAAAGTCTCAGCAGAGTCTAGTAGAAGTTGTGCACTGTTACACTACAGCTAACAGGGCAGTACTGTACCCCCAACTTCTTATAAATCCCTCCAGAGCCCGTCTTACTCAGGGTATAGCAACTACTTTCATGAAATGGTGGATAGCAACTAGTTTTGGCATATTATGTATTTGTATTACACACTGCAGTCTGATTGGTCGCACCGACATTTTGGCATATTATGTATTTGTATTACACACTGCAGTCTGATTGGTCGTACCAACATTTTGGCATATTATGTATTTGTATTACACACTGCAGTCTGATTGGTCGTACCAACATTTTGGTGTCAATGCAAAACATATCTACTCACACCATCCATCATCACCAGGGAAATCAGGGGTGATTAGGATTGTGTTGGTAGAGGTGAATGTGAGCAATGTGTTTGGAGCTTTTCCCTTATACTATGGAGCTCTGTACATTGAAAACTGGCACATACAGTGCTCCATACTCTGACTATCCACACACCTCAGTCTATGAAAACCAGACTGACTGTCTTACTGATACTCATAAGAGTGGCCCACAATTATTTCAGCAGACGCAGCAGTAACTCCCTTAAAAAGCTCTGCCTAGAGTAGTGTGTGACTCGTGACTATGTCTCGCAGTGTGATAGCTGGTCTGGTTTTGCTGCTCTCAGCCACTTCAGTGGTTGGCTCAGGAGGTGAGTGACTGAGAGACTGATACATACACAGAGAGAAAGAGAGAGACAAGTTAGCTGAGGGTGCTATCGCTGCAGATGACTCACCTGCTGATTGCGCTACTGAGTGTGTGAGTCAGCAGGAGCTGGCTGCTGTGAAGGCAGAGGTGGATCAGCTACACTCACAGCTACACTACTGGCAGAATGTGACTGTCAATATTCTCAAGGACCAGTGCTCCTCCTTTAGCAATGGTACCTACTCCTTCGGTCTAAATAGCTTAGCTTGGTTAAAACATTGAACATGTTCAAAGCTCCAGTTGGTGAATTTAGCACTGAGGCAGCGGTCCTGATATCTACTGTGCTCAATATATCCCAGAGCAGTAAGTGATTGACATGATACCTACTGCATACCTGTACATGTCATAACACTCTATTTAGACCAGGACATAAAAGCATACCTTGAAGCTGTGAGCAAGCGACTGGACTCACTGGAAGAGATGACTAGACAGTCTCCCAATGACACAACTGGGAGCTTCCTCAACCCAGCACACAACTGTCACCATATTCAAGCCAACATCCGATAGCTACTTCAGGTGAAGAGTTCACCCTTTTTGATGTTAATTATTATTCTAAGCTTGCACAGGGTACTACTGGCTGCAGAGCTCCCCTGGCTATGCAGTGAAGGTGTTCTGTGATATGGAGAGGGTGTGTGGGTGTGATGAGGGGAGGGGGGAGGGAGGAGGGTGGATGAGAGTGGCCGATATCAACATGACTAGACCCAATGAGAACTGTCCAGCAGGGTTCAGAAAGGTCACTGCCTCTGGCAAGACAATGTGTGGAGGGCAAAGCCGATCATGCATCAGTACCACTTTCAGCTCACATGGACTCCAGTACAGTCGAGTGTGTGGGAAAATCATTGGCTACCAGTTTGGAAGGACAAATGCATTTGATAATAGTGGATCTATTGACACTATCTTTGTTGATGGCATAGTCCTATCTCATGGTTCTCCACGTAACTACATCTGGACTTTTGCTGCTGGAGGCAATCAGTACGCAACTGATCAAAATAGCTGTCCCTGCAATGGTGCTTCCTACAGTGGAACTATACCACAATATGTTGGCAATGATTACTTCTGTGACAGTGGTCACCGCTATGATACAAACCCTCCATTTACCTACCTAACCAATGACCCACTCTGGGACGGTGCTGGTTGCATCAGTGGCTCCTGCTGTACCTTCAACTCTCCTCCGTGGTTTTGTAAGAACTTGTCCACACCAACTACTGATGACATTGAGCTACGGCTCTGTCTGGACGAGGCTCTTAGCAATGAAGACACACCTTTTGAAATAGTGGAGCTCTATGTTCAGTGAGCTGGCCACTTGTGACTCAAATCTCAGAATATATACTATAATTAGTGGTGTGAGTATTTACAGTTTGCATAAAGCGTTGTTCTAACGAATGACGACTGCTGTCGTATGCATACGTTGATTGCTCACCATCACCAGCGTCAGGATCATTTTAGAAGTCGCTCTCCACTAGCAAAATCACTTGTTGAGGGTTGCTAGTTTTGGGGGCCACTCGCCCCACATCATGTTATTTTTCAGCCTCGCCTCCCCCACTTTTAATGTGCAACAATCACGCTGCATATATGCGCACGTACATGTAGGAAGGCCCGAGAACAAGGCTGAGTATAATTATGCCTTGTACATATGTATATACTTACTACTATTATGGTACAAGTATATACTGTATTATGTACCATACACACCTGAGCTGAAGTCCGATGTTGTAGCGATGGATGAAGTTTCCTCCAAAGACCAGAGAGTCCTGAGGAGTCAGCACAGCATGGATCCAGCCTGGGTCAGAGAGAGAGAGATAGAGAAGAACGAGAAAAATAAAGTGAGACAGAGAAAAAAAGAGAGGGGCAGGAAGAGGAGGAAGAGGCAATACCATAAATGCATGCACCGCAAAACGTTTGAATTGGGTGAACCCAACCGTTATCACTAAAAATGGGCAATACAACTAACTTTCACAGGAATTTAGCAAAACTATTTTTTGCAAATGCTTCGGTTTACGCAACATACTGTGCCTGACCACGTTCGTGAAACTTTTTTTCTCTCGAACTGTAGCATCAGTTTGCCAGGTTTAAACACAATAGTTTAGGGGGAAAATCACGGAATGTAATGGACATACATAAATCCAAAGCTTTCTGCACAGTATGTAAGTCAAGCGTGAGCTGCTATGTACTAGCTCACCAGTGGGGATAAGGAGAGTGTTGCCGGCACTGATGTTGCACTTGTAGCACTTGGGGACCTTGTCTCCGAAGAAGATCTCGCTCTGGTTCGAGGACATGACCCACTGCTCATAGCGCAGGAGGTTCTCCTCCGTCGGAGGAATGAAGTAAAATACCTTCTCTCCCTGAATTCAAACACAGACTACTATATACCTACACTGCTTCTTAATGTACGTACATGCAGCATAGTAGTGTCAACCTTGAATATTTTCTCAAAGCCCACAAGTTTGTGCTTAAAGCATGCCTACGTTCTTTCTTTCCTTTACATAGCTGTATTTTGCACGCAACAACTAGCAGGTGACCAAGTAATGCCTACACACTCATTTTCAGACACATACAACGTACATATCCCTCAATAACATGCTTTACACAGCATCAAGATATCAACTTATATTTTGTAGGTGGAGGAGTAATACCAGAAGGAATACCTCATCTAGACCCATAGAGTGCACCCTCGGGCATTATGTCACAACTGTGCCAACTCCATGTACAATTAACCACCCCCTGGTGTATATTTACATAGCAGACAGACAAGAGGCCGGGATTAATGGCTCACTCGTAGAATGTGGTACCAGACTGAAGTCCCTCCAAAGTCCACGTGGAAGTCGGTGTAGCTGTCTTTGACACTCATCAGACAGTACTTTTGAACCTTTGTACATACATACACACATACAGAGACAAGACACACTACACGGAGAGTTATATACACCAAACTAAGGGCACTAGGTTTAACACTTAATCATCTGAGATACACCAGTGGCATGTTGGTAGTATATACCTGAGGTCTAGAGTGAGGTGAGTGTTCAGGGAGGTTGTCCGGCCAGTGTCTGTTGATCCAGTCTATCTCGTGTCACAACAGTAGGAGGAGACACCAGCTCTGACAACCTGCATAATTATCATACATGTACGTACAATATGTATCAATGTAACAGAATGACCGTTTGGCTATGATCAGAATAACACACCAAAGTGTAGTGCATAGTATAGGCACCTTTGTCATCATTATAATTATTATTCCTACTGCTTCTGATTTCTAACAATCTATTCACTAATTCAGAGTAAAGTTGTACAGTAAGGAATCTATTATATTTAGTGTACTAAGGAGGACTGTCTCACTCTGTGTTAGAGAATTCTAGACTGATGACATTGAGGATCTTCTTGCGTGATCCGGTCGACTCGTAGTACTCTGTCCACTCCCTCATCTTCATCAACAGGTCGTCCTGACGGTTGACATCTATCACGTCCACCTCACGTAGCGGACCTGGGGGGAGGGGGGAAACTTGTCGTACTTTTAGCAAACAAACGAGGTGGAGGAGAGTGAAGGAAACTATTCCGAATGCCTTTACAATAGATAAAGTGTGCAGTGGAAATAAAACAATTGAGGAAAAAGGTGGCCTAAACATTTCCTACTTTAGCAAACGGGGGGGGGTGTGTGCAGTGAGTGACAAGTGTAAGTGGTGGTAGAGCTACAAACTTGTCGTACCTTTAGTAAGCCAGCGAGGTGAAGGGCAATCAAACAAACTACCTTTTCTACAGCTGGAGCGTGCAGTGCATTAATTCTCAGGAGAGATAATTAAGTGATGGTAAGAAAACTGTGGGTGGACTAAACTTTTCGTACGTACTTTTAGCGAGCATGTATGGGCAAGAAAAGGCCAAAAAACATCCTGAATACCCTATCTATACCTGGAGAGTGCAGTTAAAATATTCCTCCCACTTTTAGTAAATTTTTAACCTCTGAAGAGAAGACACCTTCCTATAAATAATATTCGGAGGCTCCACTATATTATATTGTACTTTTGAAGACGACAATGATGTATCTAGAGGCCTCACCAACATATTTCTCAACATCACAGACTCTGAATTCGGGAGAAGGGACTTTGACCCCGAGACCGTCCTTCTTCTTGATCATGATTGGTCGTGAGAACCCGTGCTTCTCAAAATACTGAGTCGTGAGCTGGGAGCCGTGCAAGTACACCATTACCTCGTCATCACTGCACACGGGTAGAGAGGGAGGGAGAGAGAGTGACACAGAGCTGACGAATATACATATGTAATTTTACTGGCACACTACACGCGACTAATTTGTCTTTCTAATGTCTACATTGTTGTACAGTGTATTAGGGAAGTATCGGAGGTTTACGGATCTAACATGGATTATGTGTACACATAAAAGACAAGATACACTATACTATAGCATGTAAGTAGGAGTGACCTTGAACAACTACATACATATGTATTTTGAATTGATGGGGCTTGCACGGATAGCTTTCTTCGTAATTGCAAACACAAAGCTGTGTACGCATGAATGTGATACACACTGTTCAACAATGTGGGTACACATGACCACCCCCGCCCCCCCCTCTCTGCTGGCTACATTCCAAGTGTGTCCAGTTGCAAAGGTAGTGTATACATCGTGTACATGTATTGCTGGCTCACCAAAGCTTCTTGTTGCTCTTCAAGTTGTCCACAAACACAACCGTACCACTCTGCACTGCCTGTATAATGTGTATGTATACGTATGTATGATTCACAAAGACACACTATAGTAATGCTGAGCACTGACCGACGTACAGACTACAAGTAAACAGCCATTGGAGAATGAACTGTGTACAAACCTTCTCTCCATCGTTGATCTCAGAATAGTCGTGTCTATGCCAGTTCCTCCTCCTCTTCACTGGACAGATATGGACATAATGTACACCAACACCCACAGACAAATGTTGTACATTATACTTACTTGTATATACAGTATTTATCTACTAGAATGAATATACTACTACAGGCGAGACATGACTTTGACTAGTGCATACAGTAACTCCTTTACCCTGACATGTACATAGATTAAGTATAGAGCATTCTTTTGTAACACATAGGAATGCTGTACTAAATACCTTTATAAATGCAGTAACATACTGTATAAGTAAAGCTTACATGTGAGAGGGCCATGTTCAGGCTGGCAGTTGGGACAGTGGTAAGTGTCGATATCTCCAGCCTGGTGCTCCTCTACCCCCACACAACTGGTGGTGGGGAGATGTCCTACCATGAACACTGCCTCTACTTTATGAACGGCAAGCTATTCCTAGCTAGACTCGTTTCATGCCCAATTCTTTCGGAACGACTTCATAATACGCTTAAACAGAATCGACATAAAATCGCATTCGGTCCAGAGCAAAACTGGGTTTGGATCGTGGGGTGTGCACTAATTAGAGCTGACCTTCCGTGGAACCAGTCTTTGCAGATGTCGCACTGTATCATGAAGTCTCCGTCGGTGTAGGCTCTCCTACAGAGACAGTACGTCTCGTCATCGCTCTCCTCTGCCATCTTGACCTTGGCAAACGCAAAAGCTGATTATGCGAAGGGTCAAAGGTGAAGTTTTTTGTTTACGCTACTCAGAAGGGCGTGGCTCGCACGGTTGTTTGCACTGGTTTTGCAGAATGGACCTCACGACTGCGAGCAGCTACGGGCGATGGCGCACTCTTCTCCTTACAGTCTTACTAGGTAAGACATTTAAGACTAAATGCGTGATTCACAAGCTGCAGTAGCTAAAGCAATGGCAGTATAGCTAAATCACACAGTAAAAATCGTGAGCTAATTTTCAATCTTCAGTGACTTGCTGCGAAGCACTGCCAACCTTTCTCTCCGCGTCCTACTCGACCACTGTCTCTGAGCTGACGCCCATTGGCTCCATTCTCATCAACATCACTGCTACCCCAGCCACTCCAGGGAACACACTCTCCTACGTCATCTTCAACCATCCTCACATGATGCTTGATATTGACAGTTCCACAGGTTCAGTCATTCTAATAGGTTCCTTAGATTATGAACAGGAGACGACATTTACGTTCAACGTAGAGGTTTGGGAAGGTATGGCTGTAGCAATGACTCCAGTGACGGTTAACGTTGCAAACGCTAACGATGAGGTGCCCCTGTGTTCCCCGACAATTTACACTCTCACTGTCTCTGAGAGTAGCGAAGTTGGTTTAGCTCTGTTAAGTCTGTCGTGTACCGACAGTGACGGAGATTCTTCTCTCGGATATTCTCTGGAGGGAGACTCTGCAGAATTCTTCCAACTGGCTCAAATTGATTCCCTTACAACTTCTCTATCACTAGCTGCTCCAGTTGACTCTGAGGCCCTCTTCACTCACAGCGTTCTCGTCAATGTGTTTGATGGCGAGCACTCGGTACAGCTCAAAGTGTTTGTGTACGTGGAACCAATTAATGAACATGTCCCGAGGTTTAGTCAGAGCGTCTATGACTGCACAGTGTCAGAATCTGCTCCTATTGGGAGCGTCGTTTGCTCAGTGTTAGCCGAAGACGGGGACATTGGGCTTGACGGAGAACTAAGCTACAGTATTACTGGTGGAAATGAGGGTAATACGTTTGGAATCGATTCCACAGCAGGGGAAATTGTTCTAGCAGGGTATATAGATTACGAATCTGTCCAGGGGTACCTCGTTTTTGTCCGGGCCACCGACAGTGGAGTATCACCATTTGGTAATTCAGTCCAAGTCAGAATTACAGTTTTAGACAGCAACGACAATGCCCCTATCATTAGCCCCTTGATAACTAGTTCCATAGCTGAGAACTCCCCACAAGGCTCAGTTGTTAGTGCCCTCGAGTGTTCAGATGCTGACAGTGGTACCAATGGAAATGTTGAACTAGCTATTGTCTCCCAGGAGAACGCTGAAGGGGCCGATGTTGCAGTTTTTAGCATCAAGTCTTCAACCAATGAGCTCATAATTGATGCTAGCATTGACTATGAAGAAAGTCTGTTTCATATGGTGTTTCTCACGTGCAAAGATAATGGTTCTCCCTCTCTGACCTCCTCCAGTACAGTCATTGTGAGCGTATACCCACTCAATGAGTTTGCCCCTGCACTTACTTCTAATAATTACTCTGCCACCATATCTGAGAATTCCTCCGTGGGAACCAGTGTCCTAGAAGTGACTGCAAGTGACGGCGACAGTGGATCTGATGGAAATCTAGTGTTTTCTATTGAGAGTCAAGAGGGAAGAGATTTCTTGCAAATCAGTGAGACGTCAGGTCTCATCACTACTAGAGAGCTCCTGGACTGCAACTGGGGACAAGAACATGTTTTTACCATCTATGCCGCCGATAAGGGAACCCCTTCACTTACAACTCAATCACAGCTCACAGTTACACTCAATGACTGCCGTCTAGGCCGGCTTACACCTGGAGAGTCTGTCTACTTTGCAAACGTTGCTGAAAATAGTCCGATAGACACAGAGGTTGTTACAGTAGCTTGTGATTTTGACAGAGAAGGTCACAGAGATCCTGAATACAGCATCACTTCTCCTTCAACATCACCTTTTATTATCGATTCTGTTAGTAGAGTAATATCCATTGTCACACCACCTGACTACGAACAGACATCCTCACACATGCTACAGTTAAAGTGTATGGACCCCAACGATGTAGAATCATACGCCACATTCTCTGTGTATGTGACAATCACTCCTAAGAATGAACACCCACCAGGGTTTACTTCTGCGACGTACGAGGCCGAAATGTCAGAAGCTGCACTGCCTGGCTCAAGTGTGGTAAAGATAGAAGCAGTGGATGAAGATTCAGGATCGGACGGAAGTGTCGTCTACAGCATCCAAGAAGACTTTGTGCAAGACTTTGTTTTGGACCCTAGAACTGGGACAGTGTATACTCTTGCTTACCTCGACAGGGAAAAACAGAGTCTGCATTCGTTTCGTGTTGTGGCAGTGGATGAGATGGGACAGGGAGAGAGTAGCAAGTCCGCAGTGGCTGAAATCAGAGTGTATGTTAGTGACAGCAACGACAACTCTCCAGAGTGTGACAGAATTGTGTATCATGTCAGGGTCTCACCCCTAATGGGGGCTGGGGAGAAAATTCTGAGTCTTGACTGCAATGATGCTGACAGTGGTCCCAACTCTGAGCTAGTCTTCTCTCTACAGCATCAGTCAAGTGATAATCTAGACCAGTTTCATATCATTGAGAATACGGGTGATTTGGTACTGGCTCGAAAGTTTGGTCCTGAATCGCCTGTTGTCCACGAGATGACCGTTACCATTGAAGACCGTGGAGAACCGTCACGGTCCACTGTGGTACTGGTGGTTGTTGATTTGGAGAGCTCAAAGGTCAGTGCAGACAGTGGTGGGACTGCTGCTGAGGTTGTCGAAGGCTCCCAGAATACTGCCACCCTCACCATGAGAGATATGTCACTGGAACTAGTGAGTCTAATACAGCGTTGAATTACACAGCATGGAACGTTCGGTGTGGGACATCATGTAATCTTAGGGGGTGTGTAGAGCATGGGATCTTACTTGTGTATTAGCTACAGTAGTGATATGTAGGAGCTATTGTAGTACAGTATATACTTTTGACGTCTTACTAGATTTTAGATGGTGACTTATTTTTCACAGTGGGATGGAGGAGGAAGGGAATCATTTCAAGAGGTGGTGGCCAGGAGCATCACCACCCACTGTGCTCTACTACCAGAGTCTTGCTCATTGCTGTCTGGCTGTGATCATTTCTATAGCAGGTACGATGTTTCATAGCTTTCAGGGTGTCTGCAACTATACTCAAACCTCCGTAGTAAGAACATTTTAAGATATTGATGAGAGAGAGAGAGAGAGGGAGAAAGAGAGTTGAAAGTGTCCTTTTCAGAGGTTTCCCATATAGGAGGTAATTGCAGGGAGGGGAAACCAGGTTTCCTTGTGTGTCGTTTATAACTGTAATCGAGATGGGCCTGTATGAGACACTCTTTGGCCACTCTGCATAAAGTTGCCACCACCTGTCTTTTCTACCTAGCTAGTAAAGTAGTGATTGTGTGTTGAAAACAATAACCATTCTTCATGTAGGAGAAGAAGGGCAACGAATGAGCATTTCATCACTGGTTTTACTGAGGAGAATGTTGTAATACTCCCCAAGTCCCTTGAAGAGTTCCCAGGACTAGACGGAATCACTTACCTCAATCTTACCCTCTACATTACTCTACCTGGCGGAGCTAAAAAATCAGAGTATCGCACTACTGATTACGTCGTCCCGGGTACAACCCTGATATTACTGCTCAGAGACGAGGGACCGGTGATTGAGTCTCAAGTGAGGGGCAGAGTCGCTCCATCATTGACACAGAAATCATCAACAGATAGAGATCCTAGCATAGACTGGATGTGGGCCGTGATCGCTTTATCAGTGGTCGGAACTTGTGTGTGCTTTACCGCGCTTATTTGCTTCTTCGTACGAAAGTTGAAATCTACAAAGAAAAGGTAAGCACATCCTTACAGTGTCGTTACATGGATTTTTATTCATTTTCACAGGTCGGCTATTGCTCCTATCAATGTAGTATCTCTGAAATCGGCCAAGAAAAGTTGCCCACCAAAGTCTGCAGTTCAGAGCAACATCAGTGGTACAAGTCCTAGTGGAAAGGCAAAGACAAAACGGCTATTGCTGCGTGACCTTCTCCAGTCCCCTGTGGTATCTGATGATGAAGGCTTAGGAGGGGGAAGACTGACACCACAGAGTGAACAAGACGACATTTCAACCATTCATCTGGTGGGAGGAGATGACTCCAACGAGTGCTCATTACAGGGGCAACCCCGTAGCCATGGCTCGCCGGCACTCAGCAGTGCAGTGTCGGGAAACAGTAAAAAATCAGGCAGCAAGTCCAGCTCTGTGGGTGACTATAAACAGAACTTTCCGTACGAGCCACCTCGAGAGGCACAAGACGACTCACTACGTCACTCCAAATTAAGACCTGCAATACCATCATTTGGTAGCTACTACTAGAAAAAGAATTTGCTGCATTGGGAAGTGAATAGCTTAACCACCCCAGACTGAGTAAGAAAAATCACGGACATAATTTTCACCATGTTCTAAAATTTCCAAGGGGTTCCCCATCCCCATTTCCCAGCCCGAATAATAATTATTATGTTGATGTTATTCATAATCACATGACTGCGCATGCACTGCCATGCAGTGTCTAGTCAGCAATAATACAGAGGCAGGGGCTATGCAACGTCTGGGTTTACTTCTCCTGTTCTGTGGGGGCCTGGGGGCTGTGCTGGGAGACACGCCGGCCAACTGCACGTACGAGGACATACGGGGAACCTGGATCTTCCACGAGGGAGCCTCGGGTTACGATGAAGCACCCGACTGCACGGGGTTCGACGTCAAGAAGACGCACACCGTGGAGCTGCTCTACCCAGACGTGGCTCAGGACGAGTTCGGGAATCAGGGCTTCTGGACGCTCATCTACAACCAGGGCTTCGAGGTGGTGGTCGGTACCCGCAAGTACTTTGCCTTCTCCAACTTTACCGTCGTCTCCAACACGAGTGTCGTCAGCCACTGCAGCTCCACTTTCAATGGATGGTCGCACGACCTCATGAGTCGCAACTGGGGCTGCTACTTCGGGGTGAAAACGACTCTGTCGGTGGATAAAGTCAGTGAGCACCCGAGGAAGTTTGACCTGCAGAGAAAGTACGTCGCGAACGAGGAGTTTGTGTCCAAGATCAACAGCGTCCAGAGCCTGTGGGAGGCGACCCACTACCCCGAGATGTACGGCTGGACTCTGGGAGACCTGCAGAGGAGAGCCGGAGGCATCCCACAGACGGCGACCCCACGACCTCCGACTGCTCCCGTGTCGGAGGAGCTCCGACTGGCCGCCAGCCAACTCCCCGACTCCTTTGACTGGAGGGACCGTGACGGAGAGGACTTTGTCTCCCCCATCAGGAACCAGGGCCAGTGTGGGAGCTGCTACGCCTTTGCCTCCATGGCCATGATGGAGTCTCGGCTGCGTGTCCTCACCAACAACTCCCTGCAGGTGGTCCTCTCCCCACAGGACGTCGTCGGCTGCTCCGAGTACTCCCAGGGCTGCGAGGGGGGATTCCCCTACCTCATCGCCGGCAAGTACGCCCAGGACTTTGGAGCCGTGGAAGAGTCTTGTTTCCCTTACACTGGGAAAGACTCTGACTGCATCTCCGAGACCAGTTGTACACGTTACTATGGGACTGACTACTACTACATCGGAGGGTACTATGGAGCCTGCAACGAGCCTCAAATGAGACTTGAATTGGTCAAGAATGGGCCCATTGCCGTCAGTTTCGAAGTACTGAACGACTTTATGCACTACAAGGGAGGGATCTATAGGCACACTGGGCTCACTGACGGGTTCAACCCCTGGGAGATTACCAATCACGTGGTGCTTGTGGTGGGGTATGGAAGCGAGGGAGGGGTTCCCTTCTGGATTGTCAAGAACAGCTGGGGAGAGGACTGGGGAGAAGAGGGTTATTTCAGAATAATCCGAGGAGTGGACGAGGTGTCCATTGAGAGTATGGCAGTCGCTGCCACTCCACTCGTACCATGACTCCCCTACTCGTGTATAAACTGTTGACCATTTGTACAATACATCATTGCTGTGGTAGCTCAGTGACCCTTTTTAAAGATGATGTACACACAATAAGTTTGCCCAGAAATCTGGTATTATAGTATATATATAAATTGACCAAGAAAGCATTATGATGCCCTAACGTATAATATAATGTACACAAAAATTTGTTCGGTCAATGAAGCTGTGGTATATTACAAATATTTACACAGTAAACAACTAAATAGCAGTTGAAATAAGGTCAAATGGTTCATTCCTCCACATCGTAATCCCAGATTGGGCCACACATCACTTCCCCGTCTTCTGGAGGTCTAGAAGTGAGGGAGTTCAGCGGAGTCCAGATCGCCCTTTTTGCGTGAACCTTCAACACCTCCATGAGTTTCATAGCCTCGTCCATTTTCTCCGGATGCCCGTCAAACGTGTCTTGCAAAACGCGCAGGAACGTTTTATAGACGTTGTGGAATGCTCTTGCTTGCGTGTGACACACGGTGCCTTTCTCAATGTCAGATATTGCGAGATTGTCCTTCATGTTCCACACCCCGTTTGGGTTGTAAGGTATTGGGTCTCCTGTATACGCGTACCCCTCTCCGTCGGGCAATCTTTCCAGTTTGTTTTCACAGAAAATTTCCTCGAAACGGAAAAAGTGGGCATACTGCTTGGTCGCTTCCGTACCCCACCACCAAGACGGCATGATTGGTAATCACCCAGGGGTTGAACTTGTCGGTAAGCCCGGTGTGCCTATAGATTCCACCCTTGTAGTTCAAGAAGTCGTTCAATACCTCAAAGCCAACTGCAACAGGTCCGTTGTTTACAAGCTCCAGTCGCATAAGTGGCTCACTACAAGCCCCGTAGTAACCACCAACATAGTAGTAATTGGTGGCATAATAGCGCATACAATCCTTTTTCTCGTTGCAAGCCGAATCGACTCCAAGGTAAGGGAAACAAGACTCTTCCACAGCTCCAAAGTCCTGGGCGTACTTGCCGGCGATGAGGTAGGGGAATCCCCCCTCGCAGCCCTGGGAGTACTCAGAGCAGCCGACGACGTCCTGTGGGGAGAGGACCACCTGCAGGGAGTTGTTGGTGAGGACACGCAGCCGAGACTCCATCATGGCCATGGAGGCAAAGGCATAGCAGCTCCCACACTGGCCCTGGTTCCTGATGGGGGAGACAAAGTCCTCTCTGTCACGGTCCCTCCAGTCAAAGGAGTTGGGGAGTTGGCTGGCGGCCAGTCGGAGCTCCTCTGACACGGCAGCAGTCGGAGGTCGTGGGGTCGCCGTCTGTGGGATGCCTCCGGCTCTCCTCTGCAGGTCTCCCAGAGTCCAGCCGTACATCTCGGGGTAGTGGGTCGCCTCCCACAGGCTCTGGACGCTGTTGATCTTGGACACAAACACCTCGTTCGGGACGTACTTTCTCTGCAGGTCCAACTTTTCTTCTAGCGGAATGTAAACTTTCTTGCTGGATACGGTGGTAATTTTCTCGCCGAAGTAGCAGGCCCAGTTTCGAGACATGAGGTCGTGGGACCATCCAGGCGTCGTAGAGCTGCAGTGGTTGATCACAGTCTTGTTGACACTGGTGTAGTTGGAGAAGGCAAAGTACTTGTGGGTACCGACCACCACCTCGAAGCCCTGGTTGTAGATGAGCGTCCAGAAGCCCTGATTCCCGAACTCGTCCTGAGCCACGTCTGGGTAGAGCAGCTCCACGCGAATCGTCCTCTTTACGTCGAAAGGCTTGGAGCAGTCGACCGTGCTGTTGAAGCCTGTAGGGCCCAAGTAGAACAGCCACGTCCCCCGCGCGTCTTCGTACGTGCAGTTGGCTGGCGTGTCGCCATGAACAGTGGCCAGACTAACGACAGCGGAGAAGAGAAACACTGTTCGACTCAGGGAAAGAGCCATTAGCTGCTGAGCTTCGTGCGCACTACCTGCAAATGCGGGGGTTGTCAGTGCAGTAAACACGTGATTTTATGCGGTTAGCGCATGCGCAATCCCACCACTATTTTACAGCGCTTGATTTTTTAACTCACACTGCATAAAAAGAGGCGAAAGCATTGTACAGAATACTCATAAGCATCTCTAGAAAGATTTAGGGTAAAAAACACACAACATTTGTCAGTTGTCCAATTTGTAATAGAAATCGTAATCTGCAGGCTCTTTGGGTATGGCAGGAGGCTGGCTGGGAATGTTGATATTTTCAATGTCGAGCAGCCGCAGCTTCAAGTCCATGTTCAGCAGAGTGTCAACGTCCTCGGTAGAAGCCTTGCTCCTCATCGGCTGGCCCAGGAGCACCGACAGCCCGTCAATCCAAATGTTGTAGACGGTCTCGTTGGGTGCGATGAAATCGAGGTGCTCCTCGCCCTCGTAGAACAGCGAGAAGATGTTTTGGTTGGCGCTCTTCTTGGCCTGAGCGTGAGGACACGCTGCTCCAGTCTCCAGCCGCATGTCCGACACTTGTATCTTTTTGTCGAGCGCCTCCAGAGGCGGCGGTTGGCTCCCGCTATAGTCACCAAAGTGGATCACCTTGTGGTTGGGCGAGAGACGGCAGTAGAAAAACTGGTCGCGGTCGCGTCCACGCTTGACTTTGGGGAAAGAGGCGCCTTCCGTGAGATGCCGCAGTCGCTCCTCGCGTACCAGCTGGACGATTTCCGGACGGATCTCCGCGCAGAGCTCTTGGACGGGCTTCGATTTGAGAACGCCTTCCTCCAGAAGTTGGCTGTTTTCCTCCGACTCGGTTATCTTCTTGTAGCTCAGCTCAAACAACCTCATCCTGAAGAAATCGAAGGTGATGAGCGTGGAGGACCCCGTCTGGAGGACGATGCTCATCTGCTTCGTAACGACGGCCATTACCTTTTCGAGGTCGTGAATGGACGCTCGCATCTCTCTCCACGTCTTGTACAGCAGTTGGATGGTGATGCAGTACACGTCCTTGAGAGGGTCGTTGGCCCACACCAAGCACGGGATGAACTCGTAGCCTATCTCTGAGGGGGGTTCCCCCACGTGGAAGAGCTGGCAGAGGACCTTGGTGAGCATTATGCTGGCGTGGGCAAACGGGCACTGGTTGTCCGTGTGCCCGAACAACAGCTGCGTGAATATCTCGTGCTTTGTCTTGGCGAGGTACCCCATGCACTGGAGTGCGAGCACCCCGGGTGGAGTATCCCCCAATTCCACCCTAGGATTCCCGCTAAGAAACCCCAGCTGCTTCCACAGGGTCTCGGGGATTTTCGACGAGCGAGATATTTCCTCTGGGAATGCTCGCGCGGGGAGCATGCGCAGCTCGTCTTCCATGATTGGATCGCCTTGAAGAAATTTTGTCTTCATGTGCCGCTCGGCGAGGTTCATGATGTGGCACTGGTAGACGTAGAGCTCGTGGGCTATCTCCTGCGGGACGTGCCCCTGGAACGGTGTGAGGATGTGATCGTTGAGCATCCGATTGAACCTCTTCTCGCGGAGGTCGTTTAGAACGCTCTCCTGGTCGGCCGATTTCGAAATCATTGCGTTGATGAAGGCGAGCGTGCTGTACTTGACATTCGTGTCTTGCTTTTCCAGGAACGGGACGGTACTGCTCACCGTGACTTCGCGCGCTATCGTCTCGTAAAACTTGGGGCTGTTGATGACAATCGACTCGAGAATGCTCAGACTCCGTGACACCACGCCCGAGCGAAAGTACTCGCGCTGCTTGAGCGACCTGTCGACAAAGTTGATGAGTTTTTTGACAAAGTTCTCGGTGAGGCTGTCCCACGACACAATGCTGTGCTCCATTAGCTCGAGGAAGGCTCCCAGGATGCTGGCAAGCTGCATAATCTCGAGGTCGTTCACCAGCTGACTGTTTTCCACCATCGCCATAAGCTGCGATATCCCGTTCAGCTTCATGAACTCGAGCGCAAAGGTGTAGTCCTTTGAGAGAAGGTACAACTCGTCGATTGCCTTTCTCCGCTCCTCCACACGCGGTGAGCGAATCTTTTCGTACGACTCTCGCGCCTGCGTGGACGGTTTGAAAGCGATTCGGAGGATGTCCCCGTTCTTTAGCTTGTGACGGTTCTCCTCCGTGATGTAGCCAATTTTTCCGGACAGTAGCGTGACGTTGGGGGGTGGGTCAGCGTACTTGAGAGCGTATTGATCTGGGTTGGGTAGCCCCCATTGCCCGCAAATGTCGGCGATGATGCTCGCCAGTTGCTGGGACTGAGATACGATGAGGAGGAGGGGTTGGGTGTGGGGTCGCGAGGAGTCGGCCTGGATGGCCAGTTTTACCATGTCCTGCTTGCCTCCCAGGCTTGCCACGGAGGCATGTGGGGAGAGATGGGGGGATGCCATTCTTTCTTCTATCTCTCTCTACTATGGTGTGTGGATTAGAGGGGGAGAAAGATGGGGAGCCGTGAATTTGTATAATTCAGGAGGGTATGTTGCGTATATACGGTGCGTTATGGAAAGAGGGAAAGTTTTGTTGGTGTTTTAACCATAACAGTACGTGGACATTGTTGTTCAAGGGGCACAGTGTTGCCAAACTTGGGGGAAGGCGTATGCACCTCATCTGCATTCTAAAGAATGTTAACGGCTTGAGTATTAGGTAGCATTCAACCGTGGTATAATTATACATCTCTGCATAATTCTACATTCTGTATGTACATGTAGCACAGTACAAACTTATGGACTTAGTTCAAAACACTATAGAGTAATTCCTGGCCCAACGCGGGAGGTATATACATACTGCTTGTCCTAATGGTTGCTTACCGTCCCAGCCAAAACAAGTGCAGCTATATGTACTCTTATACTTACTCCATATCTACACGTAGCCTCACTCCCAGGCTCTCTCTCTCCTCGTGCCACGAGGTGACTTTGAGCCTCATGCATACTTTACATACGTCTGGATGGCAAAAGTCACTCGCCAAATCATGTACACACCGAAATGAGAGATCAGCATCGCGTCGAGAATTTTCTGCTGGTACACTATTGTCTAAACGCATAGCTATGTACATAATACCCTATTCATAACGCTACAACACTACCTGAGTCATCAGCTACAACACGGACACTGTAGCCATTTTGTTAGCTACTATCAGAGCAAAAAGGGATGAATATCTAATTAACGTTGGGCTTTTCACCACGACTACCACTAACATCTGTTAGTCTGTCCCGGTAGTTGTTCAAACATGCTAGCTAGTAGCTACGTCGAATACAAAGGCTGGAGCGGTTCATAGCTACACCCACAGACGCGGCCAAGTACGCAACTAGAACATTAGAGAGACGGACTCACCTACGCGAATACTTGTGATGCGAACTTTTAAGCCGACGAAACGGTGCCAAACACTGACGGGAACACTATCTCTGGTCCCAAACGTCAAGTGGAAGAAGTAGTAGCCATTTTCCTGGACGGAATTATCTATTCTAAATATCCGTTATGGGGCGCGGCCGAAATTAATTAACGTCGATGAAATTTGAAACGACGTGTAGGTCGGTCGACGAAAAGCAGGCAGCGGCCCTTATCTTTCATGCTGAGCAGTTGTGCAGAGGAAGATGGTACTAGGGAAGCTGGAGGCAGTATTTAACAGTGAATGGTGGTGGAAACGTTTAAAAAATACGGACCTGCATCGACTGGGAGTCAGTTTTTGGAGCTGCTTATCTTTCATTGGGCTGGTGAGTTGTGTTTGCACGTGGTCTCACCGTCTGTGGTGTGGTGGGTTAGGGGGGCGCTTATTGACGCATTCCTACACATGCTTAATCAATTAATGTTGCCAGTAGAGTATGTTCATAATGGAACTACACATGTTTTCCTACACAGGGAGTATCTC